GTTTTCTTTCGTCAAAATATAAAGTATTGCGATGGAAAAGATTTTTCATCCATTGCTCCCCGAAATAGTTGATATCGATGTGAAAACGAGGCTACTATTTAGATGAAGAAGAACATAACCGCGGACCTAAATGTGTGAAAAAAGACTTCATGCAGCCACTAACAGTCGACTATTGCGAAAACTTTTATTTAAAAATAACACCTTTCACCTAAAAAAATCCTATTAACGTTCTAAATGCCGTTAGAAAGAACAACCTTTTCATTATTCGTACAAATAATCGTCAGAAGCTCAGTGACTAAAGTTAATTCTAAGCATGTTCTTTTATCTAATACCAGCGAGTTTGTTTGCCCGAAGGGCAAACAAACTCGCTGGTATTAGATAAAAGCGAGTTTGTTTGCCCTTCGGGCAAACAAACTCGCTATGATCGCGCCTTCGGCGCTCCATTCACTAAGATTGTGATCGATTCATTTATATTTTGCGAAATTGCAAACACGTATTTTACGTACGACTCCATTAAAATACGTGACATATGGGGACGAAATTCTTTATTTTTATCAAAATCATTACTTCGATTATTTCTAGTGTGCCTAACTTGAAATTTTTTCTTGTGTAAGGTTTGGAGAATACATTTTGAAATATGTCCCTCCTATAATCTACGCTATGGATAAATATGTCAAATGTAGGATTTTTCCTGTACTCAGCCATCAAACGGGGACTTCTGAGGGAAGTTTAAATTTTCTGTCTCTGTTTTGTGGGATAAAAAAAAAAATCAGGAAAATGGGACTGAAAAAAAAGTGCCCTGATGGGCTTTAGCGAATTTTTTTAATATTTGAAATGAAGGCTCAAGGAACTCTATGCCACCCAATTTCAGACTTATATGTTTCCCTTTTATGCTGGCGGGAAAAATGTATTTTGTAAAGCGACCCACTTAAAAGCTGTGCTCTGGGGAGACGCACAGCAAAAGTTGAATTTTTCCTTAAATCAACGTCACGTCCGTTCTCCGTACGCCGGCTACTTTTCTTTTTCTGCCCGAATGGCAAGGATGTCNAGATGTTTTCAACTAATAAGTTAAACTGTTGAACATAAAACGCTGAAACTTTGCATGAATGCGACTACTGAAACAAGCAGTTAAATAACAATGTTAAGTCTCGATACATCCCCTGAGGGAAATTTTTCTAGGTGCGATGTTTTGAAAAAAAAATGTCGTGGCGAATTGGACAAAGATGGAAATGTGAAACTTGGCACACGTATATAAGCGAAATGATATTAGAGGGCTGAGGGTGTATTCATCTTTCATGGTGGATCCCCTTCAGGCATAGCGTATGGGTGGGTTAGCTTTTCCAAACATGTTTTTTCACGAACGAAAAGGGCAAACGTATGAGGTTGAAACGTTGTGGGCATGTAGTTCACTGAGGATAGATTTCGGTTTTTAAAAATGGTACGTTTCGGTTAAAACGGCTCAAGGCACATATTTTGCAAAAGGCTTATTTTCATGAATTTTCTGATCCAGCAAAACAGAGGGCGCATGAAAATAAAAAAACTTCGCAGATAAGTACCTGATGGATAGCTACGTAAAGAACAAATTCTAATTTTATTATATATGGACAATAATCAGTAGCTTACTGACATAAGTAGCTATTCGCATGCTGAGTTCAGTAAAAGCTCTACTTTGGTGATGCATGCCATAGGGGTGCACCTTTCAGGGAAATGGAAAGGTGAATGTATAAGTGACACACGTATAAGTGACATGTTATTATTGAGCTGAGGGAGTATTCAGCTTTAATGGGGCATCCCCTCTGGGTATTGCTTTTGGGTGGGTCGCTTTTCCAAATATATTTTTTCTGCCAGCAAAAAGGGAAACGTTTAAGGCTGAAAATGGGTGGCATGGAATTCCCAGAATCTACATTTCAAAAAGAAAAAAATTTCCGTTTAAACCCATTAGGGCACTTTTTCAGTCTCATTTTCGTGATTTTCTTTTCATCCAACGAAATAGAGACAGAAAATTTAAACTTACCTCAGAAGTACCTGTTTAATGGCTGAGTGCTGGAAAAATCCTACTTTTGAAATATGTCTCCTTAGCGTAGATTATTAGAGGGAAGTATTTCAAAATGTATTCTCCACTCTTACAAAGAGTACACAGGAAAAGATTTCAAGTTAGGCACACAAGAAATGAATGAACTAATGATTTTCATAAAAATTAAGACTTTCGTCCGATTTGTCACGTATTTCAATGGGGACGTTCTTTAAATATGTGGTTGCATTTTCGCAAAGGATAAATTAATTAGTCACTATCTAACTAGCGAGTTTGTTTGCCCGAAGGGCAAACAAACTCGCTAGTTAGATATATAAACGATCGTGACTGACTGACTGACTCTAATTCTAACCATCTAGAGAAGTTATAAATCTGAAACTTGGTACTCATGTACCTACTGGGAAGCAGAGTTCAGAAAAAATCCGACTTTGGAGGTATATACCCTGGGGTGGCACATTTTTGGGGAAAAAGTAATTAAAGATATATATGTTGTGACGGATCAGGATGGCATCGAGAGGCGTGACAGGATGTCTCGGGTTCGGTGGTGTTGCGGTAGCACACCTGATAGACGATCAGGGGGCCCGGGTTTAATACCTGGCCTTCCTTGGCGTTCATTCGGCCTCTTATTCCTTCCAGGGCACATTACTCTTTACCCCTCAGAAACAATATTTTTGCTTTAGTAAAACAGAGAGATATAGAAAGCAGAAACTTCGCATGGACATGCCTACCCAGACAATGAGTTCAGGAAAAATGAAAAATTTAATATCCATGCGCTCTGGGGGCATAGTTTTGGGGGCCGACCTTTTCAAGTAATTTTTTTTTGGTCTCGCCTATTGAGCTGGTGTGAAAAGATGGAACTTGGTGCATAACTACCTATTGGAATGCTGAGTGCAGAAAAATTCAGCCTTCGGAAGTAAATGCCCCAGTGGCATAAAAGTCAAAGGGAGATATTTTCAGACAATTTTTTTTTGCATCAGTTAAACTGATGAACATGAAGAACTGAAACATGGCATGAATGTGACTGCTGAGGCAATGAGTTAAATAAAAAATGTTAAGTTTCGATCCATCCCCATGGGAATTTTTTCGGGCGATGTTCAACCTTTTGAGGGCGACGTGCCTGATATGAGGTCCGAACGTAGTCTTGCGCGCGGGGACTACGTGCCTCATATGAGGTTTTCGCACTTTCCGCATTGGTGTGCGCAATTGTTCGCATGTGGAGGGCGCAAATGCCTTTTATACATATATTCATTAATATTGCTCATACATCAAATTTGCATTAAAAAAAAAAACTCAGGCCCTGGGGTACTGCAATGGCCAAAAAGCCTAGTCCTCAACAGGTTAAAAAAAAATGTTGTGACGAAATGGACAAAAATGGAGAAGTGAAACTTGGCACACGTATATGTGACTTGATATTATTATTGAGTTGAGGGAGTATTCAGCTCTCCTGGTGCATCGGCATAGCTCTTGGGTGGGTCGGGTTTTCAAACATGTTTTTTTCATCAGCTAAATGGACAAACATATAAGGTTGAAACTTTGTGGTCATATAGTTCTCTGAGGACTGACTTTGGTGAAAAAAAAGGACTTTTCTGTTAAAACGCCTAAGGGCACATATATTACAAAAGCCGTATTTTCTCGATTCAGCGAAACAGAGGGCGCAAGAAAGTTTAAACTTGCCAAAGAAGAACCTGATGGATAGCTGAGTAAAGAATATATTATACTTTTATTACATATAGACGATCATGAGTAGCTGACTGACTCATAGAAGTAGCTCTTCGCATGCTGAGTTCAGGAAAAATTCTCCTTTGGTGATACATGCCGTAGGAGCATACCTTTTCGCGGAACATGTTTTCAAATAGTTCTCTTTGCTTCAAACATAGACACATGGAAAACTGAAACTTGGTAAGAGCATGACTGTTGTCCCACTGACCTAAGGAAAAGAGTCCAATTTTAAAAAATTTTTGGGAGGCATATTTCTTGGGGAAGTTACGTTTTCAAAGAATTTTTCAAATCCTAGCGATTTGGGCAGAACAAGAAAAGTAGCTGCTGCCGCACGCATAACGAACGTGATGTTGATTTAAAGAAAAATTAATATTTTGTTGTGCATTTCCTCAGAGCACAGCTTTTATGTGGGTCGCTTTTCCAAATACATTTTTTACCGCCAGCAAAAAGGGGAAATGTATAAGGCTGAAACTGGGTGGCATGGAGTTCCCTGAGTCCACATTTCAAAAGGAAAAAAAATTAGTTAAAACCCATCAGGGCAGTTTTCTAAATTACCATTTACCTGATTTTTTTTTGATCCAACGAAACAGAAACAGAAAATTTAAACTACCATCAGCAGTACCAATTTGATGGCTAAGTACAAGAAAAGTCCTACATTTGAAATATATCCCGTTAGCATAGATTATACGAGGAAAGTATTCCAAATTGTATTCTCCACCGGTATAAAAAGGGACACATGAAAAGATTTCAAGTTTGGCACACTAGAAATCATAGAAGCAATGAATTTGATAAAAATCAATACTTTTGTCCCCATATGTCACGTATTTCAATGGGGACATACTTTAAATACGTGTCTGCCATTTCGCAAAGAATAGATAAATTAATCACTATTTAAGGTTATAGAGCGCCGAAGGCGTGACCATAGCGAGTTTGTTTAAAATATGGCGAGAAAACTCGCTAGTATAAAATATATTCGACGTTAGTCAACATGAAATCATTGGATTATTAATTTTGACAAAAATCTCGGTAAGTTTTCCCAACTTCGAAAATAAACGAATCGTTAAATAACCATCCTGCATTATGGAGCGCTGAAGGCGCGACCAGGATGTTTACTATATATCTTCAAAAGTATTCAGTACCAGATTGAGTGACTTCTCAATCCCCTCCTCATCTATCCTAAATCTCTTGCTTCAATGAAAGCATTCTTTTTGGTCTAATTAGCCTATTAATAGTTTCAAATGTCTCCACGTCTACTTATTCGATAGAGGTTCTATGGTTTGGGGGAAGTCTTACCAGAAAACCAGTACAGCACTGAGTTCGGTCATAACACAGTTGGATGGTGTGGCTTTCACCAATTTCTCTGACGACGAGCTAAAAGTTTGTGGCTCTTCTTGTCTCTTCCTTCTCACCCAAAATTTTTTATTCCTCTTTTATTTTGAATTACTTTCGTATTACAGGTTCAGAAAGAATACAAGCACCTCTATCGTCGTATCTGGGATGTGGCGGACGAGGTATTCCTCGAGCACGAAAACAACGCCTTTTTTGTCATGACGAATGTTATCATCACTCCGAATCAGACAATAGGACACTGTGCAGAGGTTATTCTTTGCTTGAAGTTCCTCAGGTCTAGTTACCAGTGTACGAATGGATGATGCGGCATGTTTTGTGTTGGCTTTTTTTCCTTTGCCAATCTTTAAGATTCTTCTTTTTTCATAAGTTTGGCATGCAAAAAAAGACGACTGTGTTGCAAGACATCAGCAACTTATCCACATCTTTGAATAACAGCATTTTCTGAATTGCCGACAACTGTAATGAAAAGTAATCCATATGGGGAACAGGAATGAAAGTTAGAGCCTGAAATGTACCTGCTTAACCAAGGAAGTCGTAATTATATTTCATTCTTAAATGCAAAAATGATCATTCAATGTCATGCCTTTCACGGTTCGAAGTGCGGCATCCATCTAAGATCCCAAAATCATTACCGTATATTAGGTGTTATTTGGGTATGCACATTTATTTTATAATTTTCTGATTCAATTTTGAGCAAGTTGAAGGCCAGACAAAAGGTCTTCTCTCTCCATTGTTGACTGTTTCCTCCATCAGTCTATCATTAGGCTCGATGGTTATGTGGGAGACCGAGACCAATCGCTGGATGAGAGAAAACGTCAAAATTAATAGCTTTATCTCATGGAATGGCTTTTGGAAAAGGCAGACCACACGTATACGAGCCTTTGAAATTGACCGGGGTTTATAATATTCACAATTTTCACAAAATTACCCAATCCACAGTGATAACAGAAAAATCCTTCATCGTCAATTCAGGCAAGTACGTTGCATTATAACCTTAGCCCTAACCTTTCCCATAGAACAACGATGTTTGCGGAGCACCATGTGACCCAAATGCTCCTCCCTTTTGTCCTATGGGAGAACCCCTGAAGCATGGGACGATGACCGGTGAATGCATCCTCAACAATTCAACAAGGGACTACACCTGTGAGATCAATGCATGGTGCCCCCTGGAGAACTACACCAAGCCACTGTATGCTTTTGCCTCTTTATCATCTGTCATGACAGCGCTCCTGAAAGGAAACTCACGGTGTTTTTATGCCCATAGGGGTGACCGAAAAGCATTGTTGGAAGAAGCGGAAAATTACACAGTCACGATTAAAAACTTCATTTTTTTCCCCGACTTTGGGGAGGAATATCACAGGTAAGAATTCTTTGAATAAGTCTGATATGAAATTGAACTTGGGTATGCCATTTCACATCAGACAAGGAGTGTCAAGAAATGGGTTTCGATTTCTCAAAAAAGTTTACTTAATGGTTTTCTCCAAATAATTCATTTGGAGGTCCAACCTTTCTCGATATGAACTGGTGTGTGAGTGGTTCCATTTTAAATCTGACGGGACCGGGCATGTAATAGTCATAGATTTTTTCCAAGGAATATGTGATTCTCCCATTCTAGTAAAGAAATGTGCTTGCTTATTTACCGTTCTATTTGCAATAGTTTTAGAGAAAAAACTTTGTGGAGGGCTCTTAAAAGGACTTCCCTGGTGGCGGTTTTTCTCAACTTTCAATTGGTTGTACCTTCTGAATGCAGTCAATACACATATTTATGAATATGATTTCTGCCTCATGTGGATGTTATGTACTGTGTACACACATGGAAATAAGGCCGAGTATTATTTCAGAATTTTCCATTTTAATTTTCTGAATCAGCGAAACTTATTATCATTTTGACTTTTTTTGACCTTGTATCTAACGAACGGGCTTGAGTTCCACTTGGCATCCACCCAGGCGTTATAGTCCAAGACCCATGTATTTTACCTAGCATTGATGCCTTCCTGTAGCACTCCATGAAGAGATCGATGATTTCTAAGCGCTTTCCGGAAACATGGGTGGTCATCCATGACTATTGATATGTGGACTAAAAAAAAAAGAATTATTCTCCACATAGAACCTCTTGGGACATATTGTTCTAGGGTGGTGTTTAACTACAAAATTTTTTAGTAACGTTTTAGGGAAATATGGAGAAGTAAAAGTTGGTAATAAACTTGCTAAGGCAATGCTGCATTAACCCTTTCAGACCTGAATTGAGGCTGTTATCAGAATAATATCCTTTTCTGCATTTTTGAGCTTCTTCCTGATTGTAATTGAAAATTTCATGCTTCATATGTAGTATTCATATTTTGTAAATATGAATAATACATATGGGCAAACGGGCAAACAAACTTGCTATGGTCGCGCCTTCGGGGCTCCATTTCATAGTGAATAATTCATTCATTTTTCTGCGAAATGGGAAACATGTTTCTAAAGTACGTCCCCATTGAAATACGTGACATATGGGGAAGAAAGTCTTGATTTTTATCAAAATCATTACTTCCATGATTCTATATGTGCCTAAATTTAAATCTTTTCTTGTATCAATTTTTGAGAAGGTGGAGAATATATATTGAAATACTTCCCTCCAATAATCTACGCTAGTAAGGTACGATTCATGGGTAAAAAACATAATTCAAAAGTAGGATTTTTCCTGTACTCAGACATTGAACAGGTACTTCTGAGGGAAGTTAATATTTTCTGTCTCTGTTTCGTTGGATCAAAAAATTCAGGAAAATGTGACTGAAAGAAGTGCCCTGATGGGTTTTCACAATTTTTTTTCCATGAATAATGTAGATTCAGGGAACTCCATGCCACCCAGTTGAGCCTTATACGTTTCCCCTTTTTGCTGGCGGGAAAAATTTAGTATTTGGAAAAGCGACCCACCCAAAAGCTGTGCTCAGAGGAGACGCACAAAAAAAGTTGAATTTTTCCTTAAACCATCATCACGTCCGTTATGCGTGCGCCAGTTACTTTTCTATTTCTGCCCGATTCGGTAGGGTATGACAAATTATTTAAAAAAGTTACGTCCTCAAGAAAAATGAACCCCATTACTATTTTGGAAATTTGACGTTTGACATTTGAGATCAGTGCGTCAACGCTCACGTTCTTGCCAAGTTTCAGCTTTTGATTTGCCAAGTTTCAGATTTCTAACCTTTCATGAACATGGTTAGAATGAGTGTCAGTCAGTCAGTCGCGATCGTCTATATATATTAGATAAATTTACCATATCATACCATATAATATGTATAAGAAATTTAATTAAAGAACTGAAGATTACAAAACTAATTGGTGAAAGAAGGCCTCTGATGAAAGTGAGCCATGCATAATTGTGCCTATTGTAGCGTAATATGGAGCGCAACGTCAGGAGAATCTCAAGAAATTGCCATAGACACAATGTAACTGCAATGTCCATTGCAATGGACACCAGGTCTGAAAGTGTTAAAAGTAATTTAGACATTAGATGTGCTTGCACTGGAGTCATATATTTTCAGTAAGACTTTTCTTTACTTTAAGAAAAATGTTATTTTTCTGATAGATGTCATTGGCCACATTTTTTAGGGAAAACATTTCCAGAGCAATTTTTTTTCGCTTAATCGGTGGGATATAGAGAGCCAAAACCTAGCACCAACATGCCTCATTATGATTCCACCTCTAAAAATGTCCTAATTCCCACTTAAATCTCCTAAGGGCATATTTTTAAAGTAGATATATTTTGCGTCATTTTCTTTTCCCAGGCAAATATAACTGAAATAGGAAGATAAAATGTCGTACCCGAGTACCTTTTTGGATGCTAAGTGAAGGAAAAATTTGGCTTATGAGCACATGCCCCATGCAGACATTAGCATGTGGTGATATTTTGAAATGAATTTTTTCCCTGAGGCGAATTAAGGTAAAATGAAATGGAAATTTCTTAAGCCTGCATGGGTTTCTGACTTCATGGAAATATGAAGTTTGAGGTACATTCCTTCAGGATATATTTTTGAGCAGTTCTTCTAGATTTCTTATTCGCTCCAGTATGACATGAAAATGTAAAGAGCCTTAATTTTGGGCATAAGAAGGAATGAGAGAACTACACTTAATAATCATCTTACTTTTTAGCTATTTCTCTCTGAGCATATGTTTTAGGGGAAGAAGGAGAAGCATTTTGCGAAATTTGTTTCATTAATAGAGCAAATCACGGCAACTTTGATTAACGCATTCAAAAGACGGAATTTGCCATGAGTCCCCCGCAACCTTACTTTATAGAAAATAAATACAATACTGAGAATGGTATGCAATAAGTGATATAATATAAATTAAGCGTTTGGACTTGAATTCATAAGAGGCCATATTGAACAGAGCCAAGGCCACAAACACCCAACATTAAAAAAATTCGCATCATTTCAATACGTTACTACAAAGCAACGAAACCCATGTCGTCAAATAGATTTTGGATTGCTCGTTCATATGACATATGAGGCATTTTTAAAATCTGGTTTCCCGAATTGCAAAAAAAAATTAGATCAAAGTTTGCTCAGTCGAGAAAATGAAATATTTGACTTTCATTTTTGGCAAGTGGGAATATAAGGAATTAAATATTTCTTAAATCTTGAAACAGAAAAAGAGGTGGACTTTCATTACAGCAATTTTTTTACTTTTATGCTGATTCAGACAAAAAGATTATTGGGGTAATGGAATTCTAAAAAATTAGGACACATTAAAAAAGTCACGCTTAATAATGAGACGTTTTCAAAGTGTCTTAATTTTAATCTAAACGAAAATCGTTCTAACGAAAACAAGGGTTATAAGAAACCTGAATTGGTTTCTTATAACCCCTTTTTTCTTTGAAATACTAGGATTATCCTATTTCAAACAGTTCATATGGGCCATTACATGCATTTCTAGCTGTTGAAGTTTAAGAGTTATGAAATTCACCCGAGGGGTCATTTGTGCCTCAAAACCGATATTTTTCAAGATTCATACCTCCTTCACCAAAGGAACGAAAAATAAAATATTTCAGATTTTGGAGTTACATGCAGGACTATTGAAATCTGACATTTTCCTTTTTTTGGAGTTGATCGAGCGTCATCCATCGGCCAGCTGGCATAGAATGGCCCTATTCAGATACAGAGGAAAATAGGCTACTACATTTCGTATCTTGAATGTGAGGATAGCATATATTCAAAAGAAGAAATCGACAATCACCTGCCTGGCCCTCCCTGGTTTTAAATGCAACTATTTAAATGCATGAGTATGAATGTGCACAATTTTCAGTGGTCAAATTTAAACCTAAACCCTTTTAAAATAATTTTCATCCACAACATATAGTGAAAATCAGTCCCATGTAGTTAATCTAGGGAGGTTTTAGACGTGACTGTGAGGATGCTTAAAGTTAGACCTATCTGAAATGTTTTGTACCATCTCGACGAAGTATTTGTTCTGACGGCCTCCGAAATTGAAATGCTTGTTGGACGCCATCATCAGGAGGGGCAATCGTGCGCGGCATCTCCATATCCCGCCACACCGTTCGGCCATTGCTTGCCATTGTTTCAATCTCACGTCAGCCCATGAACTTAAAACAAAAATGTATCAACATTAAAAACAGAGCAGAAGATACAACCACTGATTCTATAGCAAAAATACTCTGAATCTGATATGACTCAAGTACGATGTCAAGGAACAAGGAGGGACGGGATTGGAGCACCTCGTTGAAACTAAATGAACTACAGCTAATATCATTTTTTCATAGCGAAATAGTACATCGCCAGGAAGAAAAGGGCAAACTATCAAGAACGGCTGTGCTGAAAACCACCTTTGCCCGGTGGGCTGATAGCCGATTTTAATGTAACCGTTTCCCGGTGCCAATGACGATTGTGGTATATGGAATGTGAGTGGAAAATCAGCACATGCTCCATGTTTAATTGATTCTTTCTGCATGCAGGAGAAATGTCTTGGACAACTACACCGAAGAAGTTCTGAGGACCTGTTACTTTCACCCGAAGGAAGACCGCTTTTGCCCTAACTTCAAAATAGCCACAATTCTTCAAGAAGCTGGGATCAACGATTTCAACGATATCGGCGTCTCGGTATACTTTCATTCATTCATATTCTACTGTGAAGTATCGAACAGCACTTTCCAATATCCCAGTCTTCCAATTCGATAAAACACTTACTGTCGTGAAATTTAACTGCAAAAATGTTCCATCTTTATTTGGTTAGTCAAGGAAAGTGTGAGGCCTGGGAATTCATTCCCGTTTCTAGAACCCATCTGTGAGGAAATGATGATCTCTTTGCTGAGGAAGATCTCCATTGAGCCATTTTTAAGAGAGGCACAATATTTTTTGACCAAATGCCACGATAGTGGATATGATAAGTAGGAATTCCATGTCAAGTGGTACATTGATGGTTGCACCACCGACTGAAGTGTTTTTTTTTCATTGAGGTCTTTGCGGGTAATGAATAACACGCAAATCCATAAATTTCGAAATTAAAGGTTAAGGAAAACCCAATATGTGGTTCCTTTAATTCAATGGGGGAGGGGCATGATGTCGACTCAGGGAACTCCATGCCAGGCAGTTTCACCCATATAAATTTCCCCTTCCTTCTGAAGAAAAAAAATGCATTCGAAAAAAGAATTACCCAAAAGCTGTGTTCTGAGGAGACGCACAAAAAAGTTGAATTTTTCCTTAAATCAACATCACTCCCGTAATGGGTGAGCCAGCTACTTTTCTATTTCTGCCCGATTCGGTAGGATATTAGAAATTATTTGAAAACGTACCGACAGTAAAAAATATGAACCTCAAAAATTTATTTTTGAGATTTGACGTTTGGCGTTTGACCTCCGTGTGTCAACGGTCACATTTTTTGTCAAGTTTCTGCTTTACATGTGTCGCCGTTGAAGCAAAGAGAACTATTTGAAAATATGTTCCTGGAAAGGTTTGCCCCTATGGCATGCATGACCAAAGTAGAACTTTTCCTGAACTGAGCATGTGGAGCTACATATGACAGTCAGTCAGCTACTTACGATCGTCCAGATATAATAAAAGTAGTCTTTCTTCTCTACTCAGCTATCCATCAGGTATTTATTTGCCAAGTTTAAACTTTCCAGCGGCCCCTGTTCTGCAGGATCAGAAAATTCGGGGAATAACATATTTTTCTTTGAAAATATGTGACCTGAGACGTTATAATGGAAATGTGCCTTTTTTATTACCGAAATCAATACTCAGAGAAATACATGCCCGCAAAAGTTTCAACCTGATATGTTTGCCCATTTAGTTGATGAAAAAACATATTTGGAAAGCCGACCCACCCAAAAGCTATGTGGAGGCAATGCACCATGATAGCTGAATACTTCCTCAACACATCATATCACTTTCTCGTGTGCCAAATTTCACCTTTCCATGTCTCTCCGTTTTACTAAAGCAAAAGGATTGTTACAGTGGGGAATGATTAATGCGACTTGGAAGGCAAAAGAAGGCCGAAAGAACGCCAAGGAATAACCGGGAATTGAACCCTAACACTCCTGATTGTCGGTCACGTGCGCTACCACTAAACCACCGAAGCCAGGACATGGAGTTAACCTCTCGATGCCATCCTAATCCGTCACAATATATATCTTTAAAGACCTCTCTCCCCGAAATGTGTACCCTCAGTGCATGTACCTCCAAAGTCAGATTTTTTCTGAACTCTGCATCCCAAAAGGTTTATGTGTACCTAGTTTCAGATTTCTAACCTTTGTAGAACATGGTTAGAATTAGCGTCAGTCAGTCAGTCACGATCGTCTATATATGGTTACTAGCGAGTAACAAACTAAACAAACTCCCTATGGTCGCGCCTTCGGCGCTCCATTCACTTGGATAGTGATCAATTCATTTATACATTGCGAAATTGTAAACACGTATTTTACATACGACTCCATTAAAATACGTGACATATGGGGACGAAATTCTTCATTTTTATCAAAATCATTACTTCGATTATTTTTGGTGCGCCTAATTTGAAATCGTTTCATGTGTCCCTTTTTATAATGGTAGAGAATACATTTTGAAATACTTCCCTCCTATACTCGACGCTAAGGGGACAAATTTCACATGTAGAATTTTCCTGCTCTCAGCAATCAAACAGGTACTTCTGAGGGAATTCTAAATTTACTATCTTTTTTTCGTTGGGTTAAAAAAATTTCAGGAAAATGGGACTGAAAGAAAGTGCCCTGATTGGTTTAACGAAAACTTTATTTCTACCGAAATGTAGACTCATGGAACTCCATGCCAACCAGTTTCAGCCTAATACGTTTCTTCTTTTTGTTGGTGGAAAAAAATGTATAGGAAAGCGACAAACCCAATATCTGTGCTCTGAGGAGACGCACACCAAAAGCTGAATTTTTCCTTAAATCAACATCGCGTCCCTTATGCCTGCGCCGACTGCACCTTTTATAATTCTGCATGATTCCCTGGGATATGAAAAATTCTTTGAAAACTTCACGTCGCCAAGAAATTTGTCCCCCACTCAAAAAAAAAATATATATATATTTTTGAATTTTTTACATTTGACATTTGAGCTCAGTGCGTCAGCAGTAACGTTCTTGCCAGGTTTCAGCTTTCCATGTCTCTCCGTTTCAATGGCGCAAGAAAAAATACTATTTGAAAATGTGTTCCCCGAAAAGGTGTGCCCCTATGGCATGTATCACCAAAGTAGAATTTTTCCTGAACTCAGCATGCGAATANAAGTTTCAGATTTCTAACTCTTCTGGAACATGGTTAGAATTAGCGTCAGTCAGTCAGTCAGTCAGTCAGTCAGTCAGTCACGATCGTCCATATATATTAGATACATATACAATGTATAATAATAGTAAAATTTTTTCTTTACTCAGCGATCCATCAGTTTCTTCTTGGCAAGTTTAAAGTTTTTAACGATCTCTGTTTTTGCAGGATCGAGAGAATACGCCTTTCGCAAAACATGTGCCCTGAGGCGTTTTAACGAAATGGACATTATTTTTTACCGAAATGAATCCCCAGAGAACTACATGCCCACAAAGTTTCAAACTTATGCGTTTGCCATATTTGCTGGTGAAAAGACATGTTTTGAAAACCCGACGCCCCCAAAAGTTATGCCAGGACGGGATGCACCATGATAACTGAATACTCTCTCAACTTAATAATAATAATATCATGTTACTTATACATGTGCCAGGTTTCACCTTTCCATTTCTGTCCAATGCGATATGACAATTTCTTTCTTTTGAAACATTGCCTCTCGAGAAATTTTCCCCCGGGGATGTATCAAAACTTAATATTTTTCTTTAACTCCTTATCTTGGTAGTCACCTTCATGCAAAGTTCCAGCTTTCCGTGTCCATAGGTTTAACTAATGCAAAAAAATTGTGAAAACATCTGCCTTTGAAATTCATGGCCCAGGCCATTTCATTCCAAAGTCTGAATTTTCTGCACACAGCATACCGGTAGGTAATTATGTACCAAGTTTCATCTTTCCACTCTAGTTCTATACACCAGGACAAAAAAAAATACTTGAAAACGTCGGCCCCAAAAATATGCCCCCAGGGCATGGATCTAAAATTTGGCATTTTTCCTGAACTCATCGTGTCAATAGGAACGTCCATGCCACATTTCAGCTTTCCATGTCTCTCCGTTTTATTGAAGCAATGGGACATGGAAGGCAAGAGAAATAAAAAAAGGCATGGAATGGTTAGGAATTGAACCCTGGCCTCACACTTACCAGTCCGATGTGCTACAACTACATCACCGAAACGGTGACATACAATGGCTTTCGTTCGATGACATCCTTATCCATCACGATATATATTTTAAAAAAACTTCTTCCCCCAAAATATGTACCCCCAGGGCACGTACCTTCAAAGTCGGAGTTTTTCTGAACTCTGCACCCCAAAAGGTACATGTGTACCAAGTTTCAGATTTCTAACATTTCTGGAACATGGTTAGAATTAGCGTCAGTCAGTCACGATCGTCTATATATATTAGAAGCATGATTTTTTTCTTTACGAAACTATCAATCAGGTACTTATTTCTCAGGTTTTTTTTATAACTTTTATGCGTCCTCTGTTTTGGTGGATCAGAAAATTTTTGAAAATACGGTTGTTGTTGCAAAATATGTGCCTTGAGCACTTTTAACGTAGCAAATTTTTTTTTATTTACTGAAATCCATCCTCAGTGAACTACATGCCCACACAATATCAATATTATACTTTTGCCCTTTTCGCTGAAAAAAAAAAAACATGCTTGCAAAAGCCAACCCACCCAAAAGCTCTGCCCGGAGGGGATGCACCATGAAAGCTGATTATTCCCTCAGCTCAGTAATATCATGTCACTTTAACGTGTGGCAAGTTTCACCTTTCCATTTCAGACCAATTCGCCACAACACTTTTTTTTTCAAAGCATCACCCTCAGAAAAATTCCCCTTGGGATGTATCGAGACGAAACATATTTATTTAACTCATTGTTTCATGTGTCACATTCCTGCAAAGTTTCAGCTTTCCATGTTCATCAGTTTAACTGATGCCAAAAAATTAGTTGAGGGCATCTCCCTTTGAAATTTGTACCCCCAGGGCATTTGCTTCTAAACTCTAAAGTTTTCTGCAGCATCCCAATAGGTAGTTGTGAACCAAGTTTCATATTTCCACACTAGCTCAATACGCCCGGAACAAAAAAATACTTGAAAATGACGGCCCTTAGAAATATCCTCCAAGGGCATGGATCTAAAATGTTTCATTTTTCCTAAACTTATCGTTCCGGTAGGCACGTCCATGCCAAGTTTCAGCTTTCCATGTCTCTCCGTTTTACTCAAGCAAAAATAATGTAATGGAGGGGGAATGAGAAACGGAACATGGAAGGCAAAAAAAGTCAAAAGGGAGCCAAGTAATGGCTGACAATTGAACCAGGATCTTCTGATTGATAGTTAGAGATACTACTACTACATCATCGAACCCAGCACGTGAAGTGTTTCTCTGAATGCCATACTCATCTGTCCCAAAATATGATTAAGAAAAAATGAAAGAAAATGAAGTTTAAATGTTTCCCCCCAAAATTTGTACCTCCAGGGCACGTACCTCCAAAGTGGGAGTTTTTTTTAACTCTGCATCCCAAATGGTACATGTGTACAAAGTTTCAGATTTCTAACCCTTCTAGAACATGGTCAGAATTAGCGTCAGTCAGTCGGTCATGATCATCTATATATTAATATATAAGACGCGCCATTCGACGCACTGTCCACTTCGGAAACCTTTCCCTCATGGGAAAGTGTTAATATCTGTAAGAAAAATTACATTAGCAATCAGATGTAAAGGACATCGTTGAGATCCAAGAAACTTTTTAGTTTGATCCAAGAGAGATCACTAAAAAACTATCATCAAGGAAAATAAACTAATTAACTTTAACATTAATTAATCAATTGGCACATTCCATTTTTTGTGCCAGGTTTCAGACCACGACAATCAATATGAGATCACTCTTACTTTCAGACAATTTGTCCTTTATTGTTAGGCGATTCAGTAAATTGCGTAAAATACATGTAGGTAATGCAGCTCCGAAGGTGCAACCATAAGGAATTTGCTTTCCCGATGGGGTAAGAACTCGTTTCGCTGATTTTAGATTTCGTTGAATCATGGAGGCACGAATTATTGTCTAGAGTGAGATCGCTTGCCCGACGTGCAAACAAATTTTCCATTACATGAATTCATTAACATACGTGTAATGATGTTGCAGGGTGGATCCGTGGAGATAAGGATCAACTGGAACTGCGACTTGGACTATGACATAAAATACTGTCTTCCGGAGTATGAGTTTCACCGACTTGATCAACCAAAAGTCAACTGCACTAACGAACCCTACTGGAACTTCCAGTTCGTCTCACCAGTTTATCGCTTCTGGATATGCTGACCATATTTTCAGGAGGTTTCCCATGTAACACAAAATATTCCAGCAACGTTTTAATAATGCTGATGAACGAAGTTTCTTGAATGTGTCACGCTGTCAACATCAACGTTGTTCAAATTTAGCCGAAGAACTTTGCCATGCCGTTGTTGATCATTAGGTATATATTGCAGTAACGTCTCAGGACTGTTCAACTTAAATTTCAGCGATGTGGATGTAGAACGTTGCTTCGCTGGCACCTACTACGGACCCATATTGGCATTAACCGCTCGGAAAAGCATTGGCTTCATTGGCCCTGCAATGGACTTATATTCTGTCAATATTTAATTATTTCATTCGTCATTTCGTACAATAAGGTACTTTGGGGGAATATCACCCCATAAAATGAAACCTCGTCTTAATGGCCCATCGAGGTGGAATTTGACGTTTACAATGTTTCTAAAATATTGATTAACTCCTTCACCAAATCCCAGAAAGGCAAATGCAAAAACCTGCATGTATATAGCGTCCTTTTCCGACTTGGTTCCAAAACGACCCTATTACCCCTATTGTCGGGGGAATATGGCCATTTATCAAAAAACAACACAAAGTTTTTGAGATACTTGTGAAACACTTTCATATGCTGGGTACCAAGAAATATAATTCAGAAGTCTCAGGAATTGGAAAGGAAACACATTAACTTCATTCAGGACAAGCAATGAAGTCGACGTTATTACCTGACTCAAGAACCTGTTGTGGAAAGGAGGATTGGAATGATTCTGGGTTTGAATAGCATTGCATTTGATTGGGAGGCTGTATCTACGGGGTGTTTAATGTGCCTAATCATCTTCGCTATTACGGACAGTAAGTTTTATCAGATCAACTCAATTTTTTAAACACTGCATGTAGATAGAGGAATGAAGGTAAGTGCCAAGTTTTAAGAAAATTGACGCATTGAATCTAGTTCTATGCCATTTCAAACTTAATGTGTTAAAAAGTGCGCCGTACAAGATGAAAAAACTGCTAATTGTTTTTTTTTTAAATAGGAATTATAGTAAATTTCATCCGATCGACCCAATATTTCACAAACTGCATGCGGAAGAATGAAAGAAGGCTTTTGCAAATTTTGAACGATATTGACCTGAGGCATCACCCCAGATTGGGCCAATCGGTTGAAAATTTACCATCATTCCTATTTTTTTTTTAATAATTGGCCCAGCTTTTTGAGTTTGTACGGCACACTTCCTTACATATGAAGTTTGAAATGGCATAGAACGTGATATAATTCGTAAATTTTCTTAAATTAGGCTCATACCTGCTTTCTTCTATCTACATGCAGTGTTTAAGCAGTTTTATGCAGTTCTTTTTTAGAAACACCGTGTATAGACTGTGGGTATAAGAGAAGTCATCTACCAATGATCAAAGTGAACATGCGCTACAAGTGTGAAATAAATTTCCTCACATTGCAGGAAAAACGTTGCCTATATTTTTGCATGCATTCATAAAGTGGCAACATATCACAGAAACCCCTTTCAACTTTTTGAACGAGGGATATATCCTTGCATTCATATTGCGTCCCACGAAAATTTCTATAGTATGTCTAGCGGATGTCCTGGAGGAGGTGCATGAACATATCATCATGCTCCTTATGCACAGCATATTTCGTCTAGATATACAGTATGTCTCTGCATATATCCAGAGGGGACGCATGAGATGATCTTTCGCTTCCTAAGGTCCCGAAAGAGAGGAAACTGACACTACCAATACGGCAATGCGGTGCTACCATGAAATGAAGGATGTGTCCATATTACCCCAAATGGAGATGGCCACACTCCCCAATATTCCCTTGCATGAAAAATTTGGCAACACAGTCTCCATTCCACAAGGGAAGGGTAACACTTTCCACAAGCATTTTGGAGGGACCATATAATAGGTTAGAACTAATGGTTTCTACGTTCATGCTGTTATCAGGGAATATATGCCTAAGTGGCTCAAGTCCCATATGACTTTCTGGGTCATGCGCTGGAGAATCGCATGCATGAGACTTTCAAAACATCGCTGTATCCCGAATTCCTGTGAGAACTGGATTAATGAACACGTCTAAACCTTTCGACAATTGTATGCATTCTTCAATGGAACTATTTTTTTTTAATTCGCTCTAATTATTCGGACTGTTAAGGGATTCGTTGAGAAGGACCAATGGCCATATTCCTACAAGTTACCCTATGCTTTAATTTCTTACTCAGTCACGGTGAAAACAGGACGATGCTTGTACCAGTAGAACCCTGCCGATGCTTAATATCGTGTCTGAATCAGGGATAGACAGGAGACACGACACATTTTGAGAGCTAATCTTCCTTTACTCTGCTAAATATGGCACATTTCATGGAATTGTCCACCACGTGGATTATGGAGTGAGAGTGGAAAAACGAGACTCACGCCTCCATCTAGTAGTGTATGGAGGACAACTTCACAATTTTTTAATGCTTCCAAGTGCAAATTGTGTCAGACTGTTGTCGCTACATTGTCAATATCAACAGTGTCAACTTTCTTCCAATCATATAGCAAAAGTTGTAATAACATTCGTTGAAATGTATTTGAAACATATGAGTACTCAAAAAGGAATTTTCAAGAAGGTGAAGTCATGCTTTATCAATGTTTTTCTTTACCATGCAACACGGAGTAACGTTGGCAACAATTCGGAAACATTCCATCAACATACTGCGTTACTTGGGTTTCCAGTCAGTTATTAAGGTCTTCTTTTAACTGGATTCTTGAGGTCATTGAAGTCTACATAAATTTCAGTAGTGACCATCTTTCATACATGAATGAAAGCGTCGCACACTTGAAAAATAACTCAACACACATACAAATATGATATGCCGATACATGTCCCTGATGCATTCAATATATCCAAGTAAGACAATATATTGCAGCAACGTATAGGAAATGTTGATGAACGACGTTACTTCTATGTGTAAATGTTCAAAAAGTCAACGTGGCTCAAATGTTGCGAAAGAAAATTGCATTGACGTTGCAATATCGTTACTCATTCATTATTTATACGTTGCAGAAACGTTTCAGGACTTTTGTAGCTGATACAATATATCAGCTGGCTGTATCAACTCAACCTCAGCATGGTTGAGTTCATATGGAATGACTCACCAACCTTTATTTTTTTTTTTAGTCCATAGTTCCGACATCAATTCACTACTTCTTTGCTGCATGAATGATATATTCCTACCTTGAATTTGGCTCTGTTTCACCTCAGGTATGCTCACTTCGACGCAAATAACGATACCTTCCGCACCCTCTTCGACGTTTTTGGGATCAAGTTTTGGGTGAACGTGTATGGAGAGGGTGGAAAACTTTACTATTGGAACATATTGTGGACCATTGCAAGCCAATTCACATATATTGGTTTGGTCAGTCCTCATGAGTTTGTTTTATTGGTTATAAGAAGACGGATGGAAGGTCCAGATTAGGATGAAATAGGGCACAATCCTAATCACACGTTAGGCTTCATCAGAGAATGTTGCCGGGATAAAAGGGATAGATAAATGACACAAAACAAGACGCAAAACACAAACCAGTTTGTGTTTTGTGTCGCCTGTTGTAAGACCCCGTTCCCCCGCCATGGGAAGATACAATTGAAATAGTGCAGTGCATATTTCATTCCAGTATTAATTTTCATTTCAGCTTCCACATCGGGATAATTATATATATATATAATATTCGCATCAATGCGCTTCACTCATCCGAGCTGCAATATTATTTTTCATCTCAGAAGGTTGTGCAGTCCTCGTCTATGAGTAATTTCTACTGGGTCTTGGCCTCATGGACAATGCATAAGGTCTGGCGACTTCACCTTTATCGAGCGATTTATTAAGTCTCCCTTGCAAGTGCTGGCAGTCAGATTTTTTCCTGCAAAGCTCATAACCGAGCCCGGCATTAATGAAATGACTGTATAGGAGTAAGCACCAGCCTCATCAAGTGATGATTGCATCATTTGTTTGGATTTAAAGCCTACCCAAGGGTCAGAGATGTGACACGCGTATGGTTCCACGCCATTTCATTGCAAGTCATTTCCATGTCAGACAAATGACTATCGACATTTCACTGCAGACAATTTATTCGCATGCGTCAATTAGCTGTTTGTCATTTCACTGTGACACACATTTCACTGCATCCACTTTCGCTGCAGAAATCATATTGGAAATTATGGATAGAGAGATAAAGCAGGTTAATAATGGCTACATAAGGAAAAACGTCAATAGAAAAATTTGGGGAATTGTCGGAAAAAGTTCAAAACCGAAGATTGTACGCGATACCTGGCAAATGTGAAAGGACATCCCTTGACGGCCGCTGTTCAACCGAAGTCAGTATTCCATCATCAGCTGTCTTGTATTTTTTCTGAGGCTGAATAGGGCAGAGAGTGCCTGCACTACTGGAACCTCCTGGCGTCCCTGCTCCTTAATCAAATACTTGAGAAACTTACATAGTGTTGCGTGAGTTACATCCCAGATCACCTTGGAATATACTGTGGCAGGCTTGTGAAAGAAGAGGAGTGAGATGAGATACGCCAGAAAACGGAAAACGCGGGGGGAAACGGTGGGGCTTTTTCACGCGTCTACGTGAAAAAGCCCCACCGTGAAAAGGGTGCTACAGGAATAGGAAGGCAGCGAAAATGTATATAATGTGAAATGACGTACGGCAAAGTAACTACAGTGAAAATTATTTCAGCTAAATTGCATGCAGAGAAGAGTCGTGCCACTCACGTGTATAGCGTCAAATATATTTAGCATTCGTCCGATACACGTAAAGTTGCAATGGTGCAGGGTTAGTATGAAGTATTTTCCCATGTGAGACAGTTAGGTAAATTATGCATCATAAAGCTGCAATACTTGGTGTCAACACTAATGGGACCATGGGATGGAATAAATATATGGGCATCGGATATGGTCACCAGAATTTGCTAAATAGCTGCATTTGCTACATATACTTAATATGACCTCCCTTCATGTCTACGATTGCTTGCATTCGGGATATGCAATTATAGAGGGCTGACCGAAATTTTTCGGCATCCGACGTGGCCACATGATGGCGAATAGCTTGTTCGAGGTCCATCAAGGTGGCATGTGCCTCCCTATACGCAACAGTTTGGAGATATCCCAAAAGCCAAAAGCTTGCTCGGTTTAGGTCGGGCGAACAGTTTGGCCACGTGTTCGAAAAGTGGTGGCTGATTATCCGGTCACCAAAATACGTTTGCAAGAGCACGTTTACTGTCCGTTCAATGTGAAGAGCCCCACCTTGCATCGTGATTGCTTCTTGAAAAACACCATAGTCCTGAAGTTTGGGGTTGATGAAAAATTCCAGCATCGATGGATAATGTTCGCCGTCACTATCGCCAGCCGAGATCAGCTGTCTGTTTGCTCCTCAAGAAATGTGCCCCAAAAAGGAAGTTGCTTGTGAATCCACACATTTTCTTCACCTTCGTGGAATGAAATGGTTATTCGACGACAGCATGTGGCCATGTTGGATACTGCCCAGCTTTATCCAGACACCTATCATTGCGTATCTCAAATGCAAGCTATTGTAGTCATGAAGGGAGGTCACATTAGGCAAATGTAGCAAATAATGGTACTGAGTAAATGCTGGTGGCCATACCTCATGAACCTATATTCCTCTTCCCGTGGTCCCATTGGTGTTCACACTGAATATTACAGCTTTACGATGCATAGTTAGCACATTATAATTGTCTGAATATAGGAGAAACTTTAAACTGACCCTGTATTTGAACAGAGTTTGAAATAAATTCTTGAGCAAGAACCTATGCATGAACATTCCGCGTGAATTACATTAATACATAATATCATTACATGAAAATTTACTGAAAACAGTCGCAGAAAATGTATTCATCAAATTGAAGGGGAAAAGGGTGTATACAGTATGTAATCCCTGCCATCATGGCAGTCTCTATGCGCGAACCCATGCAATGGATTAATGATGACGCATGCGAACCATTTATTTTTCCTTATGCAGGCTACGATTGTGATTGACTGGATTGCATCCACGTGCTGCTGCTCCAGGATGACCTGCAAGGACTGCTGCCGCCAATCATGTTGCAGTGGCAGCGACGGCGAAGGATCTTGCTGTGATAGATGTTATGAGCGGTTTTGCTGCTCCTGTCGATGTTTTGCTCCCTGCGCCCGCTGTCGATGCAGTCTGTGCTGCAAATACAGCTCAAAATTCAATATGAGTAAATACGAAGATATTTCCGACGATTATCCCAACTCCGTCTCCTGCATTGACTTTTGGACTTGCCGTTCTTGTGACATCAAGGCCATATGTGGGCCAAAACCAAAGGTATGGCTCATTCTCTTTCTCCATATTCAAGCCTCCCTAGGAGCCATATAGTCTTGACTGTGAAATTAATGACAGTGAATTATTTACTTTGAATACCTGGGAACAAAATTCGATTCGGTTCCGCAATTTTTTGTTTGTCTCCACTGTATTTCCTTCTATTTCGATAGTGAAATTCAACACTGCAACTAGAAAATTATAACCTTGGCACTGCATAATATACTCATCGGTCTTTTCGCCTTTTATATTTGATTCCAATCAGGTCCATCATGGACACTTTTCACGGGAGCTTTAAAATGACACGAATCTCTTCCTAGGAATGTATTCAAAACAGAAGGAACAGGAGCTTGAGTACTGAACACCAAACCAGAAATATGAATTTTCAATATTTGAACATTTGTGTCCCCCGATGTAGCAGAACAAATGAGCTTACCTTTGGCAGTAATTAGCTCCTCAAATGACAACTAAATTCACTTGAAATTTGAGGTGATCAGCTCACTATTACTTTGTGTTGATTTGGCATGAGATTACCAGGCATTTTAAAGACTAATGAAGTACCACTTTGCTTACCGGCTTCCATTAGGCGTGATTTCGAAACAATAACAATGTCGCGAACGTCTCAAATATGTCCTTAAATCTTGGTTCACATGATTGGACATTGCGTCGCAATCACTACTTATTCGAATGCTACATCATTAGCATTTTTTCATAGTATGTATCATGAGAAAGGGGGTGCAAGAGAGATCCAACCTCACCTTTGCGGAGACAAAAATTTAAGTCGACTCGAGCTGGAGACGAATACCATGTCTGCAACTTCTCCAGACGGAGTAGTTACCGTTTCGCTGTATTCAGGGTGGTTGAAAAATAATTCTCTATTTTTAAACAGACGTAATTCATGTTGTAGGAAAAGTAAAAACATCGTTCTAACGGCGACTTAAAGACAATTTAATGCCACTTCATCTCACAAGGATTAAAGCTCCACATAAATACCAGGACTTCTCACTGTTTTTCTTGAGGGCAGTGCAGCATTATCCACAAGGCTTAAGAAAAACTGCTGCGGAACCTTCTGAATCCCAGATAAAATTCTCCAACTGGTCAATATCTCATTGTTTCCTTCGTAAGCATTTTCCTTGACCAAAACCAAAAAGTGACATTCATGGGAGTGAGATCAGGGCTTTTCGCGGTCAGTCTGTTGGTCTACGTCTGCTTATCCACCTGTTGGGAAAGTTCCATATTTTCACAGAGATAATGAATGAGGTATGAAATGGTATTAAATTATCATGAAAGCATCTTTTGAAGGATGATTTTATCTTCACTACAACGTGAATTATGTCCGTTTAACTTTTAAATACATGTTTTTTTATTTTTCAGCGAAAAAAATCTGGTAGGTTTCTCTCACGTCCTACAACACAGGTCAAGTGGATAAAAGTAAGAAAAAATCAAATTTGTAAGCTGTAGGCTCGAAAATGTTATTGTTGCTTATTTGCTACTAACAGTATTTTTAGCTTTCTAACCCACGCGGCATGGATGCTAGAGAGCTCAGTCGGTCCGTCAACATTCGTACGTACCTCAACACACAAGAAAATGTAAAAATACTGATGAGCTTGGACCCTGGATCAGCGCAAAGTTTAAAAAGTGAATGAAAAACGTCAATCTGCCAAACGACGAAGCCAAATTGATTTTAATTTCCTTGCCACCAGGAGTGTATGGCACCTAGTGATTGCTTAGATGCAAGGTATAAGGACCGGACTATTACACATCTACTACGAACAGATTTACCTCAGAAGCTCGCTACATGTGCATTATAAAATGTTTATTTGGTATGTAGCATATCTGCTACGTCATGCACTAAAGGGTTAAAAATAAAAAGTTTTTTTTCAATCACCCTGTATAATGTGGTTCATCCGGCCCATCTAATTCTCCATCGGTATCCATATATTACATTCAAAGCATTCAGGTTGAAAAGTTTCTCACTCTCCCTCCCGATGGAAAACGCCTCGCGATTCTTGTCGAAATGAAGGCAGCCATAGCTTTCAACAATACTTTGGAGCAGCGTTAGAAAAGGATCAGAAGTTTTCTACCATGCAAATGACAGAAACCACTTCTAGATATTTTCCAGCGCAGACACAGTGAGCATGAATCTAGACCATTTGAGTATTCATCGACTGAAATGCGACAAACAAAATAATAAAATTGCCAGAAACTAGGAACGTGATCTTTTTGGACATTCTTTCAGGTTTTGATGCATCACCTACTTTTAATATCATGATGGAACTTTTTTTTGCAATTGAAACGGACAGAGACTTCGTCTTTTTACTTGGCAGATTTAGTATGCTTTAGTATGAATAGCATACCCAGCCTGAAGACAAAGAGTCGTGTCAATGTCATGCAGATGATCAGGAAACGTTCATTGATTATCGAGTAGGACCGTGCACTATTATATTGTACCACGCATGTTCTCAAAAGCTTATTGGTCACTAAAACATACGGTGTTACATATGGCAAGTGCTTTTATAGGTGGAGTTGCATGTTCGTCTGGAGGGTGGTATAAAAGGTGATATATTTCAAGAAGACGAGTAAGACACTTCCACCAATTCTACCTTCCTATGTCTTAGTCCCGGCAAGAGTGTAATCAGATGTAATTGTTCCTATATCATTCGTATCAGGGAGGATGATCGGAATTCGGTCAAACAGGTGATATCTTCCCTTAAGAAGAAAATTGAAGAACAAGGCATCCTGCAGGACTTCGAAGAGGAAATCAACAAGCTCATCCTTATAATCAAGTTCCAATTTTTACAATTTTTTTACGTTACGTGTTTATATATATTAACGCTCTTGTAATACGAAGGTTAAACTAGTATCAAGCAAACATGAGATTGTGATTTTCATCCAGCATTCCCATAGATATTAGGGGGAAATGCCAGATATTGCAGTTGGTTTTTCACTTTTCCCCCCTTTTTACATTCCGTCTGTCCTCAGTAACCATGACGGGACAACATGACCCAAGGCGCACGTGCAGCTTTCCGCCTGAGACGGGGTGCCCATCTTCCACGAAAAGATCCACTTCCCTTCCAGCCCTGGCGGTTGACGGATCCATAGTAGACAATGGCCCGTATGAATAGAAGTTGGCTAGAGCTTGAGCTCAGCTAAACTGGAGCCACGGCTCCTTTTTAATGAATAAAATGCACGTCCTTTGTTAAAGATGGCATTTCGTATGGATAAAGAAAAGCTCCGTCTTAACCCTTTAGCTAAGACTCGTAATACTACGAGTCTGTCGAGGGGCCGACGCAGTTAAGATGTCTTATTGCTGATATGTGATATATGATGAAATGTGTGAACGCCCAGGCAGGTTTTGTGTCAAAGATCTGTGATGGCATCCATAATTCCTGCCTGTAAAGGAAAATTCGGTACTCTCTGATTCTACAGCAAGGCCTTTTTGCATAAGCCTATGCCAAACCAATGACAGCTATTATTGATTTCACTCTTTTGGATGGGCTGGATGAGGTGAAAATACATACAGTATAATAATTCCAGTGGTACAGAGCCAGTGGAATGCCAGATCTGTACCTGGGCTGGTACTCACTAGTTTCTTAGTTCACAAGCCGTGTAATGACAAAAAATGGCGAAGAACGCAAGCCATAGACGTGGATGCGCTAATTTGGCTTACTTAGCCTTTCGATAACTGCCAGCACTCCACCATGGAATTTGTGAAATGCATTTAAGCAAATTATTTTTGTTTGTTCCAGAGGAAACATGAAGAGGATCGAGAAAGTGGCATATGAACTGTGCAAAGATAAGTGGGAATCGGGTGTGGTGTACTTTGAGGTTCGGTATTGCCCTCATCTTCTCTTGAATGACACACTCCTGAGAAGCCCATACGAATGGGAAGGTAACCTACGGTTTTTAGGCATACCCGAATCAATTATACTGAAATTTCTGACGTATATTCTGCGGTGAGTCTAGTCATGGAAGGGGCAAGAGAGGTGATTCGGGCAGTACAAAGGGGCTTGAAGAGGGGAAAAATGGATTTTGGAGTGGATTCCAGATCAATTCTCGTCTGCATCCGAGGAAAGAAAAGTAGGTGCACTCCTTGTTCTAACGATATGATACCTGAACAGTATGACAACAATTTTCATGTTCTAGAATGGTCGTTTGATATCCTGCGCTTGGCCAAGGAGTTCCAGGATGCCGGCGTCGTTGGGATAGACATGGCTAAGAGGGCACTGTTCGACGTGGTCCAGCAGAACGAGTCTCAAGATGCCTCCGCTCCGTCGAGGAGGGATGTGAATGATGAAGGGGCCTCATCCCAACGGGGCCAGGAGAACGAGTCCCAAGATCCCGACAGAATTACGAGCGACTCGCATGAGGCCTCGTCCCGAGAAGGTCTGGTGGGATCATATCGATTGTAAAAACTCTGGGACGAGCGAAATGATTACTGAAATGTAGTAATGTGAAAACGAATTTTCAATTGCTTTCCCATTTTAGCCTCTCTACAGAACTGAGGGAAGACTAACATTAGGCCTAGGCTGAACCAACAGACTGCCTTCAGGTCGCGCCAATGTCTACCTTGTTTTTTTTTTAAAAGAAATTCAATTCTTGACTTACTGGGCCAATTAGTCCTGTAAGGGTGTATCCTGGTATTCGAGACATCTGGTTTAGAAGAGTAACATTAGCTCGATTGCTGGCCTGTTTCGCGTTTCATGAACCATTTCAGTGAGACGTGGAACGTCAGGCCTATCTGGAGTTCCTAGAACAATCTGGAATAGGTCTGAGGAGAGATAGTCTTCAAGAAGCATGGAATCCATGGTGTGCGCCATCCTGTTAATTAAGGGATGTCCGGATAAGATATCTACATATCCCACCACGTCGATCAATAACCATCGCTTCATCCTCAGCTCAAATCATGAACTCAGCACAAAAATTTATCATATATTGAAAAACAGAATATCCAGACGCCGATACGAATCTGGTTTAATTTCGGCACGGTATCCGGCGACATTGGCGGAAGATATCGCACTCTAAGCCTAATTGAAAAACTAGCTAATTTCATGTTTTATGGCGAAATGGAGCATCAAAAACAACAAAAAGCTACTTTTCCTCATCTACGACTCAATGTCTTTCTTATGGTTGGTCTCTTCCCTCCGAAACTCCCCCAGGAGTAGCTACCCGGGGGGGGGGGGGGGGGGGGGGGGGAAAGGAATTAAATTCACATCCTCCNGGGGGGGGGGCGGGGGGGGGGGGGGGGGGGGGGGGGAAAGGAATTAAATTCACATCCTCCAAAACGAAATTCAGTGATCCACACAACCTCGGGGAGATGGAGCTTCAAATTTGCTGGAGCGATTCTGTGGTGAGAGAGGAAGAATAATGCCAAATTTTGTTCCTTTTGATGCTCTCAGAGAGGAATACGAGGAGGTTGAATTTTCTTGTTGGAAGGGGTTGAATAAAGGTAATAGGTGCCACTAAAGCCTAGCGATGTCTTCTTATGTACATTCAGGGGAAAGGAACGAGACACCGTTGTCAATGGAAGTGACGGATATTTTTCGAAGAGCGGAGATATGGGGGATCCATAGGACAGTACAGGTCAATTCGATGCAATTGTTCGAAGAGGTCTCTCACCATCCCATTCCCATGATCATTTTAATCACCATCTGTATTTCAAGGTCACAACCCTACATTTCATATCCTTGCATAAACAGGCGCTGGAGATGAATGTAGAGAGAATTGCTTGTGGTCGTGAGGTGTTGACCCAAATTGTCCAACGTCACATGGAGAAACTTGAAAACCCGAAGAAACACCTGGAAATATGCACAACATTTTCTTTCCTCCCTAGTGAAGGTCCTTCATCCAACATTGAACAAGAAAACAGGTAGGCAATTTTGTTCTTGATTGTCACCCCCGTACATCAGAGGCTTTCCAAGAAGGAAATGATCCAACGGCAATCTGTTTCAGAAAATATCTATCGAATTTCTCCATCAGTCAAGATTTTCCTACATTGAGAAACGAGTCTGTCGTAGATCGATTGAACGGTTTGCTTTTCGCCGGTGAGAACATCAAGAAAGCCGTATGTATGCAGGCATTTTTTATAATTGCCTCAAGAGTAGCTCTTCGAAAGGGTTAATATGATTAATTATCTCGTTGACAGGATGTCAATGCAGCCAAGTCGTCATTTCTGCCGGATTCAGAAAGAAGTGCACTTGAGAAGAAAATCAAGTTCGCCCATGGCATCCGAGACGAAAAAAAAACTAATAAAGCTCGACAACAGGCCAGGAATGGCAGTAATAATGCAACAGAAAGCAATGAGGAGAC